CAACACGGAAACTACACACACGTGGTGTCTGCAACCTGCAGACCAGTTTGAGTCCTAAGACCTTGTCGTCTACCAGCTCACACTACGATTTATACAATAAGAGTGGGAGTACCATGTAAATCAAACATTCTTAGGTGTCAGACAAGAATCTTCGAAACTATTGACTAAAAAATAAAAGCTTAACGCATTTTTGGTGTGATTGATTGAATGGTTAATTTTTTCTTGCTCATGACCTTGAACGCCAATTAGCTCCTCTTACGTTTTTTTTCTTCTTTCACTGCTGTTTTTGTCGCGGTCTACATTTCCACGCTCCTCGTTGTCTTGTTAGTGCATTTTGGTGCGCTGTCTCAATAGTAGAGTGGAGTGACAACATCCTTTCATGAGATATCTTCACTACCTCCCCTCTAGTGCTAATACGGCACGATACATGATATGATCTAACTCAAAGATATAGGAATTTATATATGGCACAAATACAAATTTGGAACATTATACTGTAGAGAGAGTTAACAAACGTAAGAATGAAGGAGAGTCCACAGTATCTCTGGTGTAATGAGTATAAGAAATATCATGGTTCAATCAAGTGTTGCCGACGCATGACTCTAGTATGTACCTCAAAAAGTCGTTATATCTTAACACGCGCACTCCTATTGGTTCAATGTAAATTTGTACGGGTAACTACTACCGTACTGTAATTCTATCAGTCCTGTCACTCACCGCGCAAAATTCCATCGTCAAAGCTCCTCACATTTGCTCTGCTCCCCACGTTAGCAGATCTTTGTTCTGTCAAACGTGCTCTCCGCTCATTCCTTTGCGCCTCCCCGTGGCGTTTGTAACGTGTCAGTCTCTCCGGCATCTCTCGCCACGTTTCATTGGTCGCAAAGCACTGGCGAGCTTGCGAGTCGATGTCTCGTGCTCATTGAGATGTCTTCGTACGTGCTTCTGATACAAGTGTGACGCGCTAGAGCTTGAGGCAATCAGGGCAAGGTTGGCAGAGCACATATTACTTGTAGATTGAAGAAATCGAGTTTACTTGAATAACCCTTCTTGTTGGGAGCACACAGCAAATCTCAGGAGAGTGCCTTAGAGAGACGCACTCATACGCCCATTCGTGTACCCGGGAGTAGAGACTCTATATCGATACACTAAGTCACCATAGCATCTTAAGTGTATATAATAGCAGACTGCAGCAGCTATGTGATTTCAAGAAAGATGTTATGAATAAAAATGAAGTTGCATAGTCATACCAAACCGGTGCATGGATATTTGTGATAGGTCAAGTACATATAGATACTATACAAAAATCAACTCAGGCAGTAAATTGTCTTGAGCCGCAATTGTATGAATTGAGTAAATTCTATAGAGATGTACTATATAATACTGCCTCTAACATCGCGCGTTCAACTGAAAGGCGTGAAAGTAAGAGGGCCTTTTTTTGACATCTTTGACACATTCATTCGTCTATCTCTTCTAATTTCTCTAGAAATGCTTCTCCACAATTTGCACTCTGTCCATACGTTCGATATGTTTATAATCGTGACTCATTCATATTTAACACCATCAGCTTTCGCATTAATTGGGACAACACTTTTTAATATTCTTTGGCGTCACTCTGAGGCATTTCGTAGGTAGAACTCGACTGCCGTCGAGCTTCTCGTCAGATCTCATAGATGACGTTGACCGAGACATGTGGGTAACACAAGCAGACTAGGGCGAGTAGTGTCAAACTATGTTTAAACAGTAATGCCAGACCCGCTTTGGTATGTTCTTTTAGTATTATTACCATACTGAATTCTTAATACTATTTATTGCTGATCATTGTAAAGTACATTAAAAAGCATAACATGCGTAAGTCTCACCAGCTATGGAGCAGTTTTTGTTTCACATGCGAACCACGGACATTTTGCGCAAATCATTCTTATTTAATGCTAATTGCGATAACTTAATAACCAAAATTATCGTGAACGTGCTTCGACCACTGCCCTCGTTGCTGTTTTTCGCGGATCTAATTATATTATTTAATTATTTCGTTCAGAACACCTAGGTCACTTCAGCTCATTAAGCGTCAACTTCTAATCGGATATTAGTACAATTTATTACATGGTTTTTGATTGTTATGCGCCCGTAGCTTCGGAGGCCACTTGCTTCTTTGCATTTAAAAGAGTAAACCTCGTACGCGTAAGAACACGATGTAACTACATAACGAGAAACCTCGGGACATGGTATTAGTCGCAGAACATGTATTTGGTTCCTCTGGATGAGGGGGCGCCCGGCTTCGCACCCACCTCGCCCATCTCTGCCCGCGGGTGCTGTGGCAGAGTCGCGGCTCCCGTGGAGGTTATTATGACGCCGGTGGGACGCTGTCCTGGGAGGCAAGGCGCGGCGAGACGGTCGAAGGTCGGCGTGGGGCGGCTGGCGAGCGGGCGGGTCTTGCGGGGTCGCTGACGGGTGGCGGGGAAGAAGTGATCATCTGGCCGGAGGGCGGCGGTCGGAGCGCTCGTGGTGCACACCGCGGCGCATCGCAGGCGGCCGCAGGTCGGGTTCGCCGACGGCGGCCTGGTAGTCGGCGAGGCGCGGTGCGTGTTTGCGCGGCGGGCGGGCTCGACCGCGCGCGGGGCGCCGCGGGCGGGGCCCTCGGGGCGGCACCGGGGGGCGGGGCGGGGGGTGGGCGTGTGATAGCTGTGGGAGCGGTGGGAGGGAGTGGTGGGGAGGTGTGACCGGGACTGGGCGGGCGAGGGGGTCGGCGTTGTTGGTTATGTTTTGGGGCTCGGTTGGATCCGGCGTGTAGGGTTGTCGTGGGGTTGGCCGGGGGTGGCGAGTGCTGGGCGGGAGCGGCGCGTCGTTCGGCGCGGTGTGGGCGCTCTTCGCGCAGCTGTGGGGTGCGGCTTCCGGGGGGGTGTTGGCGTTGGCGTGGGGTGTGCGCATGTGAGCTTGCTCTGTGATGGACACGCGGCACCAGGTGTTGGTGAGTTGGCGTGTGGGCGGGGTGGGTTTTGTCTGTCGGTTGGTGGGGGGGTGCCGTCATTCGGTGTGGGCGTGCGTCGTCCCTGGCGTCGCAGGCGCGCGCGGCACGGTCCAACGCGCCAGCGCAGCAACCTGCGGCACCACGGTATACGCCTCTCTAGCGGATCCGCCGGGCCGGCAAGCCCTAAGCTCCCCTGGTCTCTTCGTAGTGGAGTGCATGTTATGAAGTGTGTGTTGTGTGTGTGTGTGTGGTGTGTTGTGTAAAGGT